GTCCAAATTAACGAAATACAGATGTACACTTCTATCCAAAATTTCGGTTCATTTCCACTCAAATTAACATGCTCTAATTACCTCCTTTATGACCCCGCCAGTGAGACAGTGGAACGTAAGGCTGTCAATTAATGTCTCATTAATTAAAATAGTTTTTAACATAAAATATGATATTACGGCAAAACATTAGACTGTCTAATTATGATTATTCTTTTGAAGTCCTGTCCGGTATGTTTGCTTTACTTGAGATCTCCCTTGTAAGAAAATAAAGTCTTTAGTTAAGAAGTTATGACCAACTTTCGATAACGCAATCTTTATATAACTACATGCTAAAAGTGCACAATGTTTACCATCGCTATAAAGATTCTGTTTAAGGATTTCAGCAGTTGGATGGTCGAGCGATCTCCGTAATTTACCCGAGATGAATTTCATTCAGCTTAACGATTACCCCGTTGTTTCTACTCGAAAATATCGCCACACCGTGTTGAGAGGAACGCATAACGAAAAGCTGAAATCCTCTCAGTTCTTCTTCGAAGGAAATGTAAAAAAATTGGAGGGTAAATGTTTTAAAACAAAAGTTATGTAAGGGAAAATGTTCTTCACTCGATGAAGAAAACGCCTTACAGAGCTGTTCTGGAGTTTTCACCCACCTGTGATGTGTTAAGCGCAGCGTGTACGTACCCCACTGGCCTCGATCTTCGAGGAAAAGGAAAATGAAACCACACCGGGGGAGTACTGTTTGCTATGGAGGATTTTATAAGAAGAAGGTTCCAAAATAACTCAAAACCATCAACCAGCACGTCGCGGCTCTTAGTGTGAGTGGTACCTTGCAACTGAAGAGTTGCAGCGAAGCCAGTCGACAAAATGTCGATAAAAAATAAAGTTCGGATATAACGCGCGCAGTCATTGGTTGAAAGAGCGTGCTCTATGAGAGTATAGAGCATAGAGCTGAGCTAAAGCTGTTACGCCATCTGCCAAATTGTACTATGTTCGACCTTTTCCAAGAATTCTTTTTAGCTTTTTTCCGATAATTGAAAGTGAAATTTCGGAACAAGTGAGCCGGCAAGTAGTAACAGAAGAACCAAACAAAGGTTTGTAAACATACCAGGC